GCATATTATTATTAAATAATGATAGCTCACACAACAATTTTTGATTAGTCAATTAATCAAAACTAAAAAATTCTAGTTATAATTATATTTAATAAACACTTTTATTTCTATTTTAACATAGATAACTGCGTAGAAATGGAGCCACCTAACTTCGAGACAGCCAGTGCCAACCAGTAAGTTTTTAGTAAGAATTCATAGCTAGTGGAGGTAGGCCATTAAATGTTTCAAATTGAAAACTGCAAAAAGCACGACCCGGAAGTTATTACCAGTTATTACGAAATTAAATAACAATATATATTTTCGAAAGTGCCAGATACACTTCAGATTATCAATGTATTTCGAACCGTGATAGGCTATGAAGTAATTTGAGGTAGATAAAAAATAACTATAAAAACCTGCAACCAAGCCGCTCACCACTTCCGGTTACAAAGCTTTTACTACTTGCAAAGCCCGGTAATATAATCCCTTTGACGACTACGCCAATGGTTTTAGTTATAACAGCAAGCAGTTTAGTTCACTTCGAGGTCGGTTGTCCGAGGGATGGAGGTAAAATTACCACAAGCGATACACGGCAACCCTCGACTCCGTCGTCCTCTACAGAGTCCTCTCTTTCTCAACATTACCAAACTTTCTGAATCCCTTGCGATTACTATCAAAGGAGGCCATGTTATGGGCGGGGCCTGTCAGAGCGTGCTCTTCCCCTCTGGCTCTTTCGAATCCCCGCTCCTTCGAACGTATTTTTCAAAGGGGGAAGGTAGCCAGCGCTACCACCGGCGGACGGGCGAAAAAACGAATAACGCATTCCTTGATGAAAGATTTAAAAGAATACGTTTTTCGGCGCAGTTCATAGTTTGGTTACCGCAGGAGAGATGGGGCTGCGAATGTAATTTTTTTAAACTCGATAGCGCGACACTAATTGTAGTCATTCGTTAGTTAACTTGTATACAACGTCAAAAGGCAAAAAATTAAAATGGAAAAAATGTTCGATGTTATTGTAGGAAGGTTTTTAATTCCAATTCGGACTACATGTATGATTGACGACGGATACCCTGTTACTATAGAAAAAAGTTGAGTATTGCGGGTCAAACTGGAAACATACATCAGAATGGTAAAGATCAAAGAATTCCTGTTGGCAACGGATTTCAATTTAAATTCAATTCAATATTCTTGATATTTATCTGAAATCTTCAATGCGACCATGTTATGGTTAATTTGGTTACTCCGGTTGTTTTCAAACTGACCAGCTAATCGGCAAACTATTCCTCTTTGGAGGAACTAGCGGTTCCCACCAAACAACCGATGCTTTAGAAACTAGCTGGGTAGTATGCAAATTTTTAATTTGGATTGCTAATGTACAGATTTGTCATTAATATTAACTAGATATTTGAGAAATAAAAACCAATAACCAAAAACAAACTTGTTTTTATACTTTACATCTACTGGGAAGGTAAGTATGAAGTAACCAAAATAGCAGTAACATAATAACATATATTCTCTATCTTCAACTTTTTCTAAATCACCATTTTAGTAACCCATTTGAAATTGATAATTTCTTTGATTATGCCGTATGACGTATCTTTTGATTCTGATATCTGAGATATTGTAAAAACCAAATTTTCAAAGGAACATGACGTCATATATCTGTTTTGAAATGGGTTCTTGTGGATTACCTACAAAGAAAATAGCGCAGCCATTTTGAATGCAAATGTCAAATTGCCATTTATCGTTAAAAAGGAAATTCAAATAAAAGGTTGGGTTCAAACTCTCTTGCACCATATGTACTACAAATTTTACAAAAAAACTTTTGATGTAAACTGGCGCCTTGACTAATCTCTTTAACACTCATTATACATAAGAATGGAAGCAGAGGTGGATAACGATAATTAAATCATTAATCATCATTAATGAGTGCGAATATTATAATGCCATTTCAAAGATACAGTGGGTGTCCCAAAGTTTAAAAAGAAGAGAAAAAGGTTTTTTCTACTCCCTTCTGTAAAATATCTAATTAGAGGAGGGAGGGCAAGGCGGCCCACTTAAGCTTTTTATTATTTTTTGTAGCTTTTAACCATCAAGTCGATTTATTTTTGACTAATTTTAACTAAACCCAAACTTTGCCGAAGCTTCTGGTCGTCGTGCCACACTCTCCCCTTTTTACAATTTTATATATAATAATTATAATTACTTATTGAAAAGTATTTAATAAAAAAAACATTTCCGATTAATAACTATTTTTCTGTGGATTAAAAAATTTGTTATTGGTATTTATACGATTTTCGAAAGCTCCGGCTTTAGGCTAAATCCATAGAATTGTCCAAAAAATAATACTTTCAATATCGAATAGTTTTTTTTTTTTTTTAAATTTTTAAGCGGTTAATTTTACCCTTGGTATTACCCAAACGGCTAAAAATGTACAAACAGTTAACCAGAATTTATAATTATTAGGAGAAAAAATTAATTTTTGAGGTGAGCCTCCTTCCCCAAGGGGAGCCGCCTTTCATTTTACCACGACTTTGGACATTTTCTAAATAAATATCTATGTCCAGGTTGTAATGGACAGCAGAATCATAGCAAAAAATTATGTATACGCTAGTTATATATTCGCGTTTTCCGCTAATTAACTAACCGAAATTACAAAACATTTCAATGTACTACGTCATCAATTGTGAAATTATTCGCAAACTCAAAGAAAAAATAAGCAAGTTAATTCAAGTGTTAGAGAAAATCCTAATAGCCTTATAAAGTTAAAATTGTTCTCAATATTGTAGGTTAAAACACATGGGGACATCTGAAATTGTTGGGTTATTATGGAAACTTCGATGAAAGTGTATGTACTATCAAAACTTTCAAGAAATCTCTTTCTTCGTTTGTATATGTACAAAACATTTCGCGTCCGATGTCGATTTTTCGTTTACAAGGCATTAAAATAATTCATCGTTTATTTATGCAAACATTTAGTAGAAAAGAAATGAATTCTCTTCTTGAAACTCGACGCCACGACGGCAGCTAAACCCGTCCCTACGAGAATTCTTAAGCAGTCGAATGGAGGAGGAACGAAGCCTGGCTAGTATTGATCGGACACCTTCTTCACTCTTCTTACCCCCCCTCTCGGCCCCGGGCCCCGCGGCCCCGTTGCTTAATTCCGACCCCTTCGCCTCATTACACTCTTAGGTCGGGCTTTCGAGCTAAGCGATTTCGACCCTTGCAGTATCTGATAATATTCCGCCACCGACTCGAGTCCACCTCCGTTATACGTCCAGCTATTTCGTTTATGGGTCATTTTGTCGTTGGCTTTGTGGAAATGAACTATCCCAACCGCAACTCTGATTACATCGCCAAACGTAAAATTTCGAAACGACTGCCACCGAATGTCGCAGAAGTGGCAGGCAACCTGAAGTGTGGCCCGCATGTCGCTAGAATACCCAGTGCGTTTGGCAAAATTGAACCTAGGTTTCCTATCGATAAGTGAAATTTCAATCACTAATATATGCCCTAATTCTTAGATTCATTTAGTTTGTTATCTTCACTTAAGATGAGAAATTATATCAATTTCTTGATCTGAAAGTAATCATTACTTTGGTCCAAGAATCGAAAAGGAGTATGATCTTTTTAAATGTACAAGGTTGATTGGATTCACTTATTTCTCTGAACTTTATATATTTGAAATAAAATCTAAGCCTTAGCCTAAGTACATACCAAGTCCTTTTTTTTAATGGAACACCATTTTTTTGAATCTATTTTCCAATTCTGCGTCAAATTTCACGCATAATTCAAGTAGTATGAGCAAAAGAATAAAAAACAGTAATTTCATTTTGAAATGAATAATAGAAATTGTAATAATAGCATTTCGGATAGTAAAGAACTTGAATATAGTGCATCCAAATGTTGAAATTTTAATTTTTATTGGATGTGGCGGAAAACGAGAACTCAAGAAGTTTGTAATTTGTTTAACGCAAAATATCCATTACAAGATTGAGTAAAATTGAGAGAAAATTTATATAAACAGGGTATGTCAAGGAAATTATTGGATTAGGTGTTGAAAATGCCAACCAATAACTTGTCAACAATATGTTAACCGGTTTAAAAACCGTTGCAAAACATTAAGTGGTCAGGATATTGTCATTAATTTGTGTTATATCGTATGTAATTCATAATTTAGAATCATATAAATCCAGTGGAGTAATATCTGGAGATCTTGCAGACCGTTATATCGATCCGGGGAATATCGTATTTATATATTTAAATACTTACGAGCAAAATGTGGCGGAGCACCATCCTGTTGAAACCAAATCTATCTGGCATATCGGGCAGATTTGGATTTGGTAAATAGACTGCGAGAGTAGGAATTAAGTTATTAGAGATATAAGGTCCAATAATTTTGTTAATTTTTGTGGATGTGTATGATTTTTTTCTTATCCATCGGGGATTATTTGTACTGCAATACTTACAATTTCGGTTATTTACAGTATTGAAACAAAACGTAGCTATATCACTAAACAATATCCGACGAAGAAAAAATTACACATTTTCATTTAACAAAACTGCAATCCGCACGATTATAAAAATACTTTAAGGACGCAACGTGGCGAAAATAAAACAGCACAGAAACGTCCCTATTTTGGCTTGATCTGGGTTTAACAAAAATATTCTCGTACATAACTAAAATTTGATTTTTCAATAATTGAACTGAGGTGGCTTTTACTTGATGAAAATCCATTTATCAAAATAAATAAGAACTAAAAGTTCAGATTTTCAACATTTGATAAAGACACGGTGTTGTCGAAACAATTGTCATGTCATAATATATAATTTCGTGAAAATCTGAACTTTTAGTTCTTATTTATTTTGATTTTTCAATAATTAAAATAGAATAATATGTTTAGCAGTAAAGTACAACTTTTTTGCCTCAGCTTCAAATCTTTGATCAAGCACATGCTGTATGTATTCGGGCATAAGACAGGTAAGGTTTTTTGTCAAAAAAAAGTACAGGGTATAGGAGACAAAGTTTGTATATTTAGCAGAAAATACAACAAAATTTATTTAATTCGTACACAAAAAGGAAAAATGTTTTAGTCAACATTTTATTTTAGGACATTGGAAAAAACTTACCATTCTGATCTAGTTGCATGAGATCTTTGTAATTGTAACAGATTTAAGATATTATCTGATCTCCAATTGCCATGGTATCGCCGTTTTTTCTAGACTATTGTTGATGTATGTAATTTGGTTCAGGATGGAAGAATTTGAAATTCATCTTCTGAAAAACGAAATAAAAACATATTTGAACACGAATATCCTCCCTTTTCATTATTGTTGCTATTCACAAAAATGACAGCAATTTACAGCTTGTCATATACATGTATTATTTAAAACCGAGCTTTACGCCTGGATGACTTCACTTATTTAAGTTGACTGCAAGCATGATGAACAAAATCGATAAACTGAAAATTTAATTCGTTGCCTCAAAACAAGAATTTCATTAGTCAAGATAAGGAAAAATTGCGAAGAATATGAAATCTCTTTTGACAAGAATATATGAGTTTCAACTAAATAAATATACTTAGATGAACATATTTAACAGTCAAGTTAATATATCATTTTATAATAAGAAGTCATTCCTTACTGTGTAGCTATGTAAGTTAAAAATAATACGAGGGAAAATTGATATATAAACGTACCTCCTGCTGGAAGTATACTTATTCATGTTGCCAATATACACTACGGTGCAAAAGAAACGCGATAAATGAATGTCTGGTAAAATTGGCAAACTCAGTTATATATATGGTTGTTACTTGTTGCTCTCATGTTAGTTTGCCAGTACGTTTTGAAAGCAAGATCTATAGTACTATCATAGTTTGAAGTGCTGAAAATTACGTAAAAGGTCTCATTGTTGAACATAGACGTAATACTTGAATACCTTGCAAGAATTATTAATGATCGTTGACCGTTTTGGGAAAACCTGGAGAAATTAGATTAGGCTAAACTTGCTAGACGCATGAACCACACACAGTAATTTCAGGGCAGCAACGAGTAAAGCCACAAAAAGTAACATGTTTCTTAAAGTAAATTCGCTCTCAGCCAGAAACTGATTTAGACTGTTAAAGAATCCAATGCGGTGCAATACACAAATCGAAAAACAAAACGTATGGAAGGAATGATTTTTAACAAAAATTCGTTTTTAAAGAAAAGTTGATTGCGAAATGATTCCACATTTTAAAATTATTGTACGCATAACTCTTATATTAACCCCATATAATACCTAAAACGCCAGTCATCATTTAACGAAATGCTAGGATATGTAAGTTAAAGTCAGTGTTATCCGATGCTTGGCTAAAAAAATCAAAAAATTGGACAAAACATTTAGAAAATAGTATATTATGCAACAAGTGAGGCAAACGGCATTTGAGTCACGAGTTTATTTTACACGAGCGGAGCGCAGCGGGATATCATCCGTTCGCTTGTTGAACTCCAACTGGAATCCTGCAGACGTTTCGCCAAAATCTCACTTGGCATCTTCAATGCTCGCGCTCCGAAAACACTTCGAACACTGTGTTCGAACACTGGAATGGCTCGAAAGAGCAGTGTTATTTTTTTTGTCATATTTATGGCCGTTTAAGCGACTTTTTAAGTATTGACTAGTTTGTCCGATGTAGACACCGTTACAATTTTGGCATGGTATTTGATACACAACGTGGCTTTTTTTCTCGTCAGGGATTTTTTATTTTAATTTACTAAAGTTTTGTTCTAATAGGTTATAACCTTTGTGTGCCACAGTAATGTCGTGTTGTTTGAACACATTACACAAATTTTCCGATAGCCCTGGAACCTACGGTAATGGGAGATATTGTTTTTGAGTATTTTTCTTTTCGGATTTGTTACCAGCATTTTGATTGTAAAATTTGTGTATCCGTTTATTGAAAATTTTATTTATTAATACATCCGGATAACAGTTTAATTTTAGGGCTTGTTTTGCTTTTTTACTAGCTTGCTGTCTGTACTCAGGATCGGACAGTTTAATAGCGCGGTCGCCTAAACCTATTATTACGGATTTTTTTTGGGTGATGGGATGTTGGGAGTTGAAACTTACATACCTAGATGTCCAAGTATCTTTGGTGTACTATTTGGTTTTGATCTGGTCTTTGCTGTGGTATAGAGTCAGGTCTAGAAAGTTAATGACGTTATTTTTTTCGATCTCTATTAAAAATTGAAGTTTGTCGTTGTATGAATTAAAATTCTCTAGAATATCATCGATTTCAGTTTTTGGGACAGCACTTACGCAGTCATCGACATAACGATAAAATAGGGGGATATGAAGATTTATATTTTTTAGTACGGATTCTTCCAAATCTTCCATTACTAACTGTGCAATAACACTGGAAATCGATGCTCCCATTGCACAACCATCGACCTGCCTGTAATATTTGTCATTGAATAAGAAATAGGTTGATGTTAATGTTAATTCTACAGCTTCAAGAAAGTGATTTAACAGAATGTCTGTGAAATATTTAATTTTTGATGACATCTAACGAGATCAAAACATAGTTTTCAGGTATCCTGACATTTTTTATTTTTTCTTTAAAATCGAAAGAGTTTTTGATGTAATATTGATTTTGATTTATAACGTTTTGTAGTATATTTTTAAGGAACTTTGATAATTTTTCACAAGGGGATTGAATGCATGACACTATGGGTCTTAGAGGTACGCCAGGTTTATCCAGTTTAGGCAATCCATAGATTCTAGGAGGTAGTGCATTCTGTATTTTAAGATTTTTGGCTACATTCGGTGAAATAAAAAGTTCTTTTTCCCATTTTGATACCAGATCGTTATTTCTTTTTTGGAAAATGTTTGTAGGATCATTATTTATTTGTTTATATGTTTTGTCATCGTTTAGAAGGTCATACATTTTTGTGTTGTAGTCATTTTCGTGCATAATTACGGTTTTGTTTGATTTATCTGGTTTTAATATTTTTAAAGTTTTATTTCTTTTTAGGAAAGCTTTTGTCTTTTTCAATTTGCTAGTAAAGATTTTTTTGTTTGTTTGGTTACTTTTTTGTTTAACAAAGTTATTTTTAAAGTTTGTAATTATGTTACAGGACTTGGCCCTTATTTCATCCCTTCCACTAGAGTGTTGTGTAATACAGTTTCAATGTTACAAATAATACCGGTGATGGGTATTTCTTCAGGTTTTTCTACTGGGACTGCAAAGTTTGGGCCTAGGGCTAATATGTCATTCACGTAGTTGGGGATTTCAGTATCTGTAAGGTTTTCGATCCATTTGGAGGAATCAACACCGTTTGTCTGCGTGTTTAGCTCAGGGTTTATTTTTCTAATTTTGTTTACATTTTTTTCATTAATGTTTTTAAATAAATTTTCGGTTTTAATTTTTACAATAGTTGCATAGTTGTTAAAAATATTCGGTTCTAAAAGAGTTTTCAAAAATATTTCAATTTTTTCGATTTCCGATGTTAAATGGTTTATCGTATGGGTCGTCTCAGTAATTAGTAGGTTTAGGGTTTTTCGAACAAATGTTTTTAAAATTATTTCGTTGAATTTTCGTCCGAGGTATTTACATGAAAAATTGGTATGTGCAACTTTAATTCTTAAAAATGTGGGTGTTAGATTGTCATCCTTACAACGCAAAAGAAAGATTCTACGGTTTTTCTGTTTACACAATTATAGATTAAGTTTTGAGTACGCTTTTAGGTTGGTTGCCACCGTCTCTCCATACTCTTCTCTGACGGTTGGAAAATGGAGCATATTTTCACCCATGCTTGGCATATTTTTCTAGTTTGTGAGTTCTTGGATGCTTTTGATTTTATATATTCTTAAGAAATTGTTCTTGGGTTTTTTTTGGTCCTTTTTTAGTGAAATTAAAATAAGTTTCCGTTACTTGTGAAACATTTTATTTTTTGTGACGTTTCGGCCTTCAAGACCTTCTTCAGACATTTCATTTTAACCTACAAAAATGTATTTTTGAATAAAATTATGTATAGCATTGTTTTCCTGGTCATAATTAAAACATAGATAAAAATTTGTATAGGAGTCAGAAAAATAGATTGAAATGATTAAAAATTACTAGTGCAAGTCAATAGAACATACAAAGTGATTAAAAATAATATAAAAATAGATGCACAACAATAAAACATACATAATTTTTTATATTACGATTACATACCATAAGCCAAAAATCAACGGTTCACTATAAAGTTGTTTGGTAATTTACAGTTTTACAACATTCACAACAGCCACATCGAATATGTAAATCGACAAGCCACATTGATTCACAAAGTGTGAAAATTTTACGCTCAGAAAGCCACACAGAAAGACGGAAATTTTATGAAATGATTGAGATCCAAAAAAATCCAAACGCCATAAATTCTAAGACTGACACAAAAAATCTCAGCAAAATTTATCACAACTTAATTAAATAAAAAGACAAATTAACCCGTGAATCTCACACAAACCAAAAAAAAAACGCTTTAGAAAAAAAAAAACTCCGTTGTCCTACCGTGAAGAAACGTACATCCGTGCTTCGCATTATTGTTTTGGTTCGTCTTATATATATATATATATATATATATATATATATATATATATAAGACGAACCATATATTTATATATATATATATATATATATATATATATATATATATATATATATATATAAATATATATATATATATATATATATATATATATATATATATATATATATATATATATATATATATATATATATATATATATATATATATATATATATATATATATATATATATATATATATATATATATATATATATATATATATATATATATATATATATATATATATATATATATATATATATATATGATGACACTATATTCCGGGATATCATCCGTTCGCTTAAACGCATGGGGGTGTTTTTTAACGTTCCATTTGGCAGATAACAAAGGGTCACAAAGTTTAGGGAAAGTGATTCATCGATGAACAATTTCAGTTACCTTGTAAATTTAATAATAATAATAATAACAATGCTATTAATAATAGTAATAATAATAATAACAATAATAATAATAATAGTAATTTTATAACTAATATAGCAACGCAAATTAGTTACGACATCGTTTACGCAAGAGATTTTTAGGGCAAGTTGAAGGCAAACAAAGACAACCGAGTCTGAAATTTCTAGTTCCAAACTGTGTGCGAGTCAATTTAACTTTGAACCTCATATAGTGAAATTGACAGGTAAATGGAAAAGCCTGCAATTTGA